TAATTCCTTCGCAGTCGTAATTTTTAGGCCATTAGAGCTCTCGAAATCTTCTAAACTCTCCTCGTCACTTGAAATTTCGATATACTCTAAAGCTGTGGTTGAAATCGACGTCATTTTTAAGTAGACAGGACGGAATAAGAGCTCCTCACTAGCATCTCGAAATAAATACCAGCAACTTTGCCGCCATTCCGCACTTCAATGGATTCTCGTTTTCAATGCCCCAGAAAAATTTGTGACGTCATGACTCAAGTATTCCTTATAAGGAAATTGCTTGTCCAAATAAAGGTAATCTTTTAAAATGTGGTTTGCCCATATATAGCATACGGCAGCTAAATAGACCAATGATCTATGGCATTTGCTTATCTTTAAAAACGTGGTTTGCCCATATATAGCATTCGTCAGCTAAATAGACGAATCATCTGCCCATATATAGCATGCTTTTCCGGGACTGCTACGTCATTTCCACCTAGTCACATGTTTTGCACGATAATAGTTTATGACAACGATCTTGCCGAAAAACTTTGCTCTTGTTATTTCGTAATTTTTCTAAGAAATTAATACATGTCTAAACACACATTTCCAATAAACGCCCCCTTTTTCAATAGGTTGATTTATAAGCGTAGTTTTCTAATTAATGTCCCCTTTGGGGATGGATGTTTATTTGAAATGTAGTTGTAGCAACTTATTTGAATAATGTTGATACCGGTTCGAGCCTTGCCACTGCAGAAATGGCCAATGCAAACGCAAGCCAAAAGTAATAGTCCAGGAGGTCAAGAGGAAGCATTACCGCCCAACGAGGGACTTTACCGGACCAACTTTTCCTAGTTTTTGGTGTAGAATTCAAATCCTGATGTTGATCGGCGGAAGATGGGCCCTTTCCGAGATACATGGGGTCTTGTCCAAAAACTGGCTGAAAACCACCAGGCTGAAAACAAGTATTTTACTTAGACCTGTTATGTACATTAAAGATATGATACATACATACACATATGTACAAAACTAGGATGCAGCTTGTGAATGAACTGTTAATGACCACCCAGAGAGGAACTTTACCAAACCAACTTTTACAAGACTAGTTTTTTGTGTAGAATTCAAAAAGAAATGTTGATTGGGTGGGAGAGGATGCTTCTTCGAGATTCAGGGGGTTTTGCCCAAAAACTGGAATGCAGTCTGTGAATGAGCTAACAATGGTCACCCGACGAGGAACTTTCCAAGACCAACTTTTTCTAGACCAGTTATTTGTATAGAATTCGAAGTTGAACGTTGATCAGGCGGGAGAAGTTGCTTTTCCAAGATTCAGGGGGCTTTGTCCAAAACTGGGATGCAGCCTGTGAATGAGCTGTCAGTGACCACCCGATGAGCAACTTGACCAAACAAATTCTTTCTAGACCAGTTTTTGGTGTAGAATTCAAAAATCAATATTGATCGGGCGAAAGAGGACGCTTTTTCGAGATACAGGGGTATTTGTCCAAAACCAAAACACCAAAAACTTAGTCCTACATTTGTTGAATTTAGAATGATTGTTGTAGCTTAACCATTGATTGAGTCACTGTGTTTTAGCTTTATGCTAATATTCTTGAGCATGGACGAGCTTATGGACAAATATGGCGGGCATTACTATAATTTGTTTTCGAATTGTGAGTGGGGGAGTAGGCAATCAATTTTGAGAAAAATGATTCTGAATAGAATTTAAAGTATGTTAAAAACAGAAGAACATCATCACAGGCACCACGGAGAAGGGGGCTAGGGGACTATAGCCCCCCACTTTTTGCCAAAAATGCAAAAGATTTACCAACGAATCACAAGAAATACCACTATTTATTCGGTTCGGTTTTAGCCCCCCTTTTTTAGACCTCCCATTTTTCTCAACGCTCCGCAGCAGTGGCGTGGTGGCAGGGGGGCCATGGCTCCCCAATAGGGGCGCAGTGGGAGATAAGGGGGCGCCAAAATTGTTTGCTTGTAATATTTGGCTAGGAACATCAAAAGTAATCGTACACGGGTAGAACACTTCGCTTGAACAATCTAAAATAACGTGAGATTCTACAATCGAAGCATGTTGCGCTGCCATGACCCAATCAACATTTGTGTCATATGTTTTCGTGTTAACTTTTAACTATGTGCTTGATTTCAAAAATTTTCTTCCGCGTCGGACCCGACCATGGTGGGTCCTCCTTTGTCACTAAACTTGATCCTTAGCCCAACCCCAGATTCAATTTTGTGCCGCCGCCTCTGTCCGATTCAATAGTGCAATTCAATGCTTGAAACTTTCATGTTTTTTGAAAGAGCTACGATTTAATATCTACTAAAGAATAACAATTTTGAACCATGTTTGTATATCATACATGATATATGCGATGACACTAGGCTGATAATACCCTGGGTACCAGACTCACTATATATGAAATTTATATAGTGAGTCTGGTACCCAGGGTAGGCTGATAAAATCGTCCATAAGCAGTGGCGAAATGGACAAAGGTTACCTTTAGTTAAAAAACTAAGGAGCTCGAAACAATAATTTGCTCTACCTTATTTTACTCTGAAGCTGGTATTCTGGATATAATAAATGAGTAGCCTGTATGAAACGTCAGTGTAATTGAATAGAATGTCTTTTGATTAGTATTTTATGTTTTGCCTACCGTATTTCCTCGAAAATAGGCCGACTCTCGAAAATGAGCCAATTCAAAATAGCTTGATATTTTACCGAACCACGATCGAGGAGGTCAAATGTTAGGATTACATAACTTTTCCATTCATTTTTGCATTTTTAGTCAAATCTTATTTATGAAATTTTGGATTCAAGTTGCAAAAATCGATTTCCCTTCTAGAAACACATGCTTTATATAACCACGATATTCTGTGACGATCGACTCGCAAAAATCGACTTGGCCACCTCCAGGGAAAACATAGCCACCCCGCCACTGCTCTGCGTACCCTGGGTACTGCTCTGCGGTGCCTGTAATCAACATAACCATCATAATTCGTGTGTTAGACGCTAGTCAAATTCTGCCTGGTTTCCACATGGTTCCCTCTGGTCAGAATATTGAGCGAGCGCACTACACCGAGCGCACAATTGAGCATGCCCGTTGTTGAACCTTCTTTTTCACTAGGATCATTGTCATTACTATTTTTACACATAACTTGAAACAAGCATTCATACCACGAAAAATATATAAATAAAATATAATAAAACAAGGGTGCATCTGATCTTCCAAGGAGTCGTATTTTAGTTAAATTCAGCTCCTCAAATGAAATTTTAGGTGTTTTTTAAATTGTTGCAGCGTGGAGAGTTTTCTGATGGTGGAAGGGTTGTCGTTCTAAACTTTTAGACCCAAATAGTACAACCTTTTTTCGATTACTTAAGATTAAACATAGGAATGTGAATACCCATGCAGTTTCTTATTCTATAACTTGGGTATGTGTTGCTTTATGTCCATACCAAAGGCTCTCGTTGCAGACCTTATTCATCATCTTATAGGTAATCATCTATCGATCAAAGTTGATTAGCTGCACAACCGTCATTCAGTCACTTGTCCACGAAAAATCGTTAAGTAGTTCAACTCATCTACAGCCCCCTCCCCCCACACCTAGCCCCACCCTGCTTTATTCAATGTTGATATCTCTGCTTTTAAAAAAGATATGCAGCAAATTTTAATGCAGAGGCAGGGCCGTCGCTAGCGGGGGGGGGGGGGCGGGGGGTGCGGCACTCCCCCTAGAAAATTCCTGTCGGCAAATTAAAGTTTTGTCGGGTTTTACTTTAGAAGTTCTCAATGCGATAGCTTTAGCAAAAAGTTTGGATAAGATGAGGATAAGTCCGAAGAAGTATCACCCAAAAACCTTCAGCAATTCAAAATAGGTACAGATGGTGTTATGGGTGTCACGGAGGGGCAAATGTCCACCAAAAATTTCAAATGACTCCCTGTCGGCAGCCGGAGTCTAGAATCTTATGTCCAATATCCAGGGCGACCTAATTTCTACCTAAAGTTTGGGGACAAAGTTTATTGAAAAACTCTGAACGTTGATCCTGGAAGTACTGGAAGCCACTGTAAGCAGGGCTGCCGAGGGGAGCAAGGGGGCAAAGTGCCTCAGGGCCTTCAGGTTGATGGGGCCTCAAATAGTAATGAACTCCATTTTAAGAATGAAATCAATGAAACATAGAAGAAGTATGCCAAAAATTAGTTAGAAGTTTTAAACGGTTGCAAGAAATGACTGCCAGAAATATTCTGAAATGCATTTTAAGACAATCTAAAGGGCGTGGTCGCAAAAAATTTCTGCTCGCTCCTCTCGCAGGGGGCCCCGTCTTTCGGGTTTCCTTCAAGGCCTTCGAAACCTCTTGGCGGTCCTATTAGTAAGATCTACTCATGCAAACTAAGTACCCACAGTCAATCTAAAATTGAAGCGATGATTGACCAACGAGAACATACTCTTTGATAAACAAAATCAATTGCGTCAAAATACCACACCCAAAAATTGAAATACCTTGGGCCACGCCCTATTTTATCGGCAAATTTGTGACTGGCACCCCCCTAAGTGAAAGTGATTAGCGACGGCCCTGTGCCGAGGGAAGGTATATAATTGATTATAGATGCGTGCTACTCTGAATTTGCTTAGGGGTTTGTCATATCAGCTACGCCAAACATCGTAGGTCAGTTGAGACATCAGCGATCGAGAGACGTAGAGACATTTCAACGGGATATAATGGCTGTTATAAAATTCGAGACCGCCGTTTCGCTTTACTATTTGTGCTATTGTATCAACACAAACACAGAAAAATACACAACATGCATGGCTTCTAAATGCAACTTTTTGAATTAAACCGATAATCCCTTCAAGATGCACCGAATAAACAAATATATCGTGTCTTTGCTCCCTGATTTCCATTTAACCATACCTGGATCTCCAGTATAACAAAGAAAGGCTGTGCTTTTATAGACAAATCGCACAACTAAATGATATCGTTACTCTAAATCTCCCCACAAAGAGTTTCATAATAAAGACACAAATAACCCAAAAAAAGATTTTAATTGCGCTAAAAATGGGAACAGCAGGAAGTTCAAATTAAAAATAGAAAACTAAAGATTGAGCCTACAGTCTAAATCGCAATGCAGTTTCATTGACGATGAGTCGTCTTTAAACGTCATACTGAGCATTATTAAATAGCTCCTACCTGAATATTTATGTTATTATTATGTTCTTTCGAGTAAAAACCGACACACTCAAAACAAATGCAACATACGACTAGAAATTGCACTCTGGAAATAAGGGGCCTGAGAAAGATTCCAGAGAGTAAAAAATATTAAGCATACTAACATCAAAATATTCAGAGTCGTATTTTGCAGTTAAGAAGCTGCTTGTAAACTGCTGTATTCAGCACCTCATATGTTTGGGTTTTTTGATCAAAAAAGTACAATGCATCTCCTTTTACTTTACTGGGATCAAACCCATCCTTTCTTAGCTGAACTTTCTGGTATTTAAAAGTGCCAGTTGTTGATATCTAAAAGCAGAATGAGTTGCAGATTAAAATACATAAATGGTTGGTTGTGTGCAAAAAACGATGAGGAAGATGATTATTATTATTATTATGATATCGATGATTGATTATGATGATAACGGTAAGGAGAATCATCATGATTGATGATGACTGATGATGGTTGCGGACAGGTGGACGTGAAAGATGACTGATAATCATCACGATGGTGATGACGAAATTATTTGAAATGAAAGTCGCTACTTACTTCCTGTTGTTTGCGAATAAAAACAGGCCTTGCGTATGCAGGTAGTGACTTTTGCATCGGCTCCAGTAGTTCGTTGAGATCAATCTGATTATCAGGGTCCGCAATTGCAGCCATTCCTGCTTTTCCCTCTGTGCCAGGGACATTCACCCCATAGACAACAACATCCCTCAGACCGAGAATCTTGCCAATAATCGATTCAACTTCTGCAGTTGAGACATTTTCGCCTTTCCAGCGAAACGTGTCGCCTGTTCAAAAAATACAGAACTTCAAATAGAACCCAATGATTCCTTGCTCAATGGGACTTTGGCAGCGTGCAAAGTGAAAAAATAACTTGAAATAATAAAATCAGAAGGTATGATAAGTAATAACAAGGTATGATAAGGAAAGTTTATCAAAAGGTATGATAAGTAATAACAACGTACAAAAACTTGTATGATAAATAAAATAATTTAAAATACATGAAATGAAAATTAGCCTTCTTAGCATCGACAACCTGGGCGAGCTGCTAAAGGGTAAAAATAATAACGAAATTCCGCTGCATGCTGAACAAGGCTGCTGCACTAGATATGTTAAAATGATACGCTCAACAAGAGGGTGAATTGGACAGACAGGCAGGTAGAAAGTCGATTTCCAAAGTCGTGAGCACGCACTAATTATTTTTGGGGATAGCATAGTAAAATGGAGAAACGGTTGAATAGGCTTAATTTTGGTTGTAAAATTGTGAAAATCTTGTGTAATGATTGGTAATGACGGAAAACCGGGAGAAAATAGATGTGATCAGAGCAGTCAGCCAGTCAAAGATTTCATGGCTATGTTCTACTGAAAGGCTATACCTAAACCTAAAGCCTATAACTATGCTTTACATAAACTACGGGAAGACAGTGAGCTTGATGTGCAAGGCGGTGGCAACGAAAGTAAGTCATTTTGTACAAACAGCTACCTGTGCGATCGTGGAAGAAGAAATAGCCATACTCGTCCTGGTAGAGAATGTCTCCAGTCAAAAAACAAGAATCACCATGAGTAAATATATCGTGGACAATCTTCTTTGATGTTGCTTGTTTGTTAAGGTATCCGTCAAACTTTCGTAATGGGTCATCTGTGAATAGAAAAGAGAAGAAAATATTTAAAGACAAATGCAGGTGCTGCATACTCGTTCAAAGACATCCTTTATAATCCTTTCGAGAGAAGTAATTCGCTATACTATGTGGAAAATTTAACAAAAACAAAAAACAGTTTTTCTGTACTTGTACTTGCTTTAACCTAATGCAAAACAAATAGCAACATGTCTTACAAGAATTCAACTCACACAGTGCAAATGAGGATAAACGAAATCATCATTCATGTCACTATCAATTAAAATTTTAATAAATTTGAAATTTCAATTCGGCAGAAATGTTGAAAATATTAGAGGACCTTTAACCTATGTTCTTTGTTCTATTATCAAACTTATCATGTTGTTTAAAGACAGTACCACAAGAATCTCATTTTCAGGTCAAAGTCATATCGCATATTATATTTCAGCTAAGTTGTAAAATGTTTCGTTCTTTTCGCATGAAAGTCGCTTGACGCTTTTACCAAGTTAGTTTTTATCGCCAAAGAGCTCGCACAGTCGGGAATTTCCAACAGAAAATCATCGGGATATATAGCAACTAACATTAATTGGTTTAAGTATCGAACTGACGACAGTCAGAATAAAAAATTCCATCAAATTGTAGCAAGTGGAAATATAATTACTTTGACCAAGGAAGTGACACAGCTTGATGCAACCGTTGAGGTTTGTGAGTCTCGAAGTTTGTTGTCACAAGTGATTGAAATGAGATATGGATAGTTCCAAAAGAGTATAGAGGGACTCTCGCCCCAGTGATCTATAAAGGGCATATTGTTAAAATATCCTAGCATTCTGTGAGATGATATTTGAAAATCATTACAATATCAATGGAGAATGGCTCATCCAGAAGAGGGAAAAATTAGATTTCGAAAAGAAATTGCCCCTAGATCCACCTTTTCAGCCCCCCCCGCCCTCTACATAATTTTCATGTCGCTACGCCACTGAAATTTTGAATATCATTCTTATTTGTAGAACTTTCTTCTAAGGAGTATTTTTACCCCCTTGAAGAGTTTTTTCCTATATAATCAGATAAAAGTATTTCTTGTCAACTATAAATAAAAAATAGGCAAAAAACATAACTCACTGTTCTTAATCTTTCCAATCATCTCCCCAGGCTCGTTATATCCACAAGGAATCGCGAGGCCGTCAGCTCCTCTCAGCAGTTCACCAGTAACTTCATCAACCTTAAAAAGCTTCAAAGGGAAGAACCAGGGAGCCAAAACTGAATTAAACCCAACAGCCGCTTTCTTATTATCAATATTAAGAACGTTTGCGTTTCCTTCTGTTGAACCGTAAAACTCGCCAATCTGTTTGATATTGAAACGTGTTTGGAACTCTTCCCAAATCTGTGGCCTGAGTCCGTTACCAAGGGCAAGACGTAGCTTGTGACTTTTGTCCGAGTCTCTTGGTGGCTGTGCCAACATATATCGACATGTTTCACCAATATAATGTGTTAGCTTAACAGAAAAAAATAAGATCAATGAAAACACCCAAAAATGCCAAATGTGAAACTGGGCACCAACATACACAGCGAATGTTATGTTATGATTAGGGATGCTATGATTGACTAAAAAGAAACGGTAATAAAGAAGCAGGAGACATTACACTTCTTTTTAATTTTCGGATACCCCAAATAAAGAGCAAGTTATAAAATCACCACACTCTAAGTTCTTACATCTAATGCCTGGTATTAACATTGAAAAGCAACTTACAGTTGCCCCATACTTTCCACAATCTTCAAAGAATTTGCTGGCTGAGAACTTATTTCGAATAGCTGCAGTATTTCCAATTAAAAGTGTCATGCCTATGCCAACAATACCACCGTTGGAATGATACAAAGGCAATGGTATGTAGTTGACATCATTGCTAGTGACATTGAAACAAGTACCCAAACCATAGCTCATATAAAAGAACCTAGAACAGAACAATACATGCTATTAAAAGGTTGAAACGTTTTTTCGCATTAGAGTTAAGAAAAGGACGTAAGGTTTGGCAAGGTGAACAATATTCTGGACAAGTTTAACAGGAATGAAGTGTGCTTCATATTATAAACTGCAGCCATATAGAACTGGTATGTTACTTTGCTACAAAGGAAAGTAATCAAAGCTGACTGATTTAATCAAAGCAAAATGTCTTTTGATTCTTTTCAGGGCATCATTCTTTTCCACAAATACAAGTAACTATTTTATGCTAAATGCACACCTCTCACTGTACAGATGCTAAAATCTGGGGTTGTACTCTAGATGAATAAAAAATGCATAGAATGTAAATATATACAAATGTTAACAAAAATTACCTCCCATGTTTGATTACTGCTGCTTTAGGGAGGCCTGTGGTTCCAGAAGTGTAGATGTACATGAGCTTATCTACAAGAAAAGTATTGAAAAATTAAATACAACTTAAACTATTAATATCACAATATATTTTTATTCGTATAAAATATTACACTACATTCTACTTTACTTTATAATTACTAAACAATGACGCAAGGATGAAACTTTGCCATGGCCAATACAAAAAGACAGGCAATTTTAACCAAAACACAAACAAAAGTGGCTAAACTAAAGCAGCTTCAAACAATATGTGTTAATATACAGGTGCTTGCAGTAAAAAGTGTTTAGGATGGATCTTTCATTTTCTACCTAAAAAGAAGGGGTTTCAGGAAATACATGAAGAATATTTGGTCTTGGAAATAACATCAATATTAATTTTTTCAGACTGCTTCCATGAGGGCTACGTCAAGCAGAAACCAAAATAACAGAATTGTAAGCCCAAAATGATATCAAAATATATGAAAATTACATGACACCATAAAATATACGAACATAAAGTCTAAAGACCAATATACTATTTAGAATAGCCAACACAGCGAAGAAAAGCTAAAGAGGCATCTTTATGTTTCGACATAAATCATTGTAATTGGCTTAGATCCAGTTTTAATCCAAATTTGACAATCAGTAAGACAGCATAATCAGTAAGACATTTGTGAGTTTTTAGTTATTTTAAGACTCATTGCTAACAATGGGCCTTTGCGAGTGTGGTGACGATCCAAACAATGGCAGTAAACTTCTAAGGATTAACCAAAATTGATTTCAAACTGTCTAGAGATGCATTATGAGATGCTTTCGTAGCGCAATGGCTCATTGTTAGCAATGAGTCTTTAAACGTATTGACTCTAGCTTCAAAAGAAAAGAGAAACATAAAGATGCCTCTTTTCTTTGCCAAATTGGTTATCTTTTTTTACTATAAAGCTGCACTTCTCAAGATCTGAATAAATTATCTGTATGCAATGTTATAAAAAGCAAATAATGCTGTACCAAAGAAAGATCTATTTTTTGGTTCTGGAGGTTTAGAAGTTGCACTCTGTTGCAAGAGATTTTCCAAATTTGAACTTCCAGGAATGTTGGAGTCATCACCAACACAGTAGAACTGCAACTCCTTGTCAAGAGAATCTTTTACCTCGGAAATTGCCTCTTCAAAAAAACAACCATTAAGAATTTAAGAATAACAACAAAAGAAAATGGGACTGTTAGCTTGATCAGGTCTAACAAATAGTACTCCTTGCTTAATTTTTTTTACTTTATCTAGACTTTTCTTATACAAGTATCCAATTTACTTATATGCGTACTTGAAAAATTATGGCTTTTTCTCCACCCTTTTACCTAAATATATTAAATGGATATCTTTCGTATGGTCTTTTCAAGAATATTCCTATGTAACAATTCCCTACCTAAACACTTCATTTGTAAAAAGTCATTTTGGTAAAAAGCTATAAAGCTATAATGCAGGAAATCTTACTGCCATATATAACCATTGGCAGATAGGCAATATTGAAACAAGATGCAAATGGAAACTGAACCTCCCAATTGTACAGTTAAAGTAAAGATTTAGAAAACAATCAACCTTCTTGCACATTTCAGAATTACCATCTGTATTGCACAAATTTTCTCAATACTTTCAAAGTTAAAATCACTGAAGCCACTAGTAACTACCAGTTCCTTAAAATGAATTAAATGCAATCCACACAAAAAATGAAATTGATTTCTTTATGCTATATTTTCAAGGCTTGAAGCTGTGTTAAAACAGAATAATTTCATAACCAGGATTTCAGATTTTCACTTAAAAACCCCAACATACAAACAAAAAGACCATCTTTTAAAATAAACACCATGCAAAAGTTGTGACAAAAATTGTTCTGTGATTTTATACTGAATTACACTTAGCTATTGAGATAGGGTGATAATAATTAGTATATAAATAGAAAAATTTATAAAAAGGGGCACATACCTGATAACGACTTGCTGTAAATGACACTCTTTGCACCTGATATATTTATACAATGAGCTAATGATTCACCTCTCAGATTGAAATTGATTAATGCAGAAATGACTCCTATTTTTGACAGTCCAAGCCAATAGCAAACATACTCAGGAGAGGAGGCCATGAAAATTGCTACAACATCATCTTTCTGATAATTTGCTCCATAAAATACATTTCCTAATTTGTTAGCTAGCTGATCTGCCTCGGAGAATGTCATTGTTTTCCCAGTATCCACATCAATGAAGGCTGTCTTGTTGGGATACTTATCAACAATGGTGGTAGTAAAAATGTTTCCAATTGTTTCATTATTCCTATTATGCTTTGCCATTACTTTCTTTACATGTATAAGTGTCAAGATACCACTGAAATGCAAAAAAAATCATTTTATACTTCTTGAATCTTAACAAATCCTAAAAGAAATTCTTCTGACTCAAAGTCAAATGCAGATGCAGAGAACTTATTGACTGACTCGTCAGATAAGAACCCTCTATTTCAGTGAATTAGAAACTCCCTATCAGTCTTTCCCAGGTGAAAAGTCTTGCAGGATCCCACAAGAAAGGTCTTGCAGGGTCCCACAGGATCCAGTGGGATCCTTGAAGGATCCTAGATTTTTAGGATCCTGGACAAGATCCTACCAAGATCTTGCACGATCCTGTGTGTATAGGACAAACACAATTTAAGATCTTACACAAGATCAAATAAAAATTTTGAAGGATTCTAAAACAAGGTATTGAATAGGATCTTGCGAGGATCCAGAGTGACATTGTAGGATCTAACAAGAATTAAATAAGGATCTTACACATAACGATTCCAAGATCCTATTGGATTGTGCTATTCTGTCAGGACCTTGAATATAAAGATAGGATCCTGTAGAATCTTAAACAGGACCCTGTTACATTCTGACCAGGATCCTAATAGCATCTTGAATCCTAAGCAGTGGTGTAGTGCTATCAAAATAACAAGGGGGCTATTGCACAAAATGTTGCAAAAACAATAGAAAAAACAGAAATTTTCCAAGTTTTTTGGCATCAACAAGGAGGACTCACCCCCTAGCACTACACCCCTGATCCTAAGTGTATATCAATCGATTTCGTGGACTATTTATGCAGCAAAGCATAAGAAAAACAAAACATGTGCATTATATCAATCTCTGTTGATTGTAAATACCATGCCCTTTTGTTTAGCTTAATCAAATACATTTCAAAATTATTTCTTCAAGTCATTTTCTTATTGGCTTATAACAATTTACTATGGTTAGGCATACTCTTTTTAGGCTGGATTAATTTCATCTTTAAAATGGAACTCATTACTTTATGTGGCCCCTTAGATACTAGATCTTGAGTCTCTGTTGTAGTTTGCTTCCTCCTCCAAGGTGCGGTACCCCCCAACAACTTGTCCATCAGCACAGTAAGGATTTTAGCTGGGCATTTGTTATGCAACCTTCTCTTCAACATTTCTGCATAGTTGAACTTTCAAAGTATGGCACTAGAATAAACTTAAAGAAGAATACAAGAGTATTCATTTTTTGACCACACCCTTCGAGTGAGACACGCCCTTTCTTGTCGGCAAAAATCGCCTTTTCACCCCTCCAAACAATTTTCTTGGCTCCACCTCTGTCTTTTCCCCTACTCTTGGGGGCCCTGGTTATGTTCAGGCTATCAATTTTCTCTTTATGCAGTTCAAAAAGTTTAAAGTTTGTCTAAAAGGCATAACATTTTTTTATTAAAGGTTTAAGTACCAGTTTTATGATAGAGCAGCTTTCTATTTTATTACTGCACAAAACCGTTTTTCGCTGCACAAAATGGTTATCATTGCACCTCAAATTAGATATGCTGTCAGGTAAAAATGACTATAGAAAACAATGTTGAACTGGAAAGAATATTTTTTAAATAACAACTTCTGGTATATCTTGTTTTCAACCTATTCAAAATCAGGGACTTTGAAGGGGTTATCATGCAACCAAACCACTGTTCTGGTACAGTGATTCATAAACAGTGACAACCATTGATAAGGAATTGCATAGTCACATGTCTTTTTAACCAACCAATCAAAGAACACTTTGCAGTCCAGCAGGTCACATTTTGACTGAGACAATCTGTCAGAGAGTATTTTTAACTAGAGTCTGTCCTAAAACACAGAGCTGCTAAAACATGTAAAGGCCAAGAGAAGGTAGCCTGTGCCCCAGACCCCTAACTTGAAAGTAGAGGGTCTGTGTAACCAAGATCAAAGTGGTGTACAGGCGTTTTCCCAAGGAACCTGGGCAATTAATTATTGGGAAATTTCTGTTTATAAGTAGAGGTCATTTTCTGCTGTTTGAAGGCAAAGCATTTTGTCTACTTTTCTATTTGAAAATCGACTCGACTGCTTTCCAAGTAAATTATACCTTCGATTCCTGCTGTAGATTCACCCTCCCCCTGGTCATTGCCGTAAATACAATCACATTGGTCCCACAACTCCTTTAATGCTACATTTTGGTGGTTATGGTCACAACGAAGTTCTTCAAATCTTTTTCCCAACAAGTAATCTGTATCGTACCATCACAACTGTCTTGCAATATGATTCTTCTTCTTGCATAATTACTCAAATCTGTGATAAGCATGCAAATAATTCAATTCAATCCTTGCATGCGATTTTGCCCTCAGTTACATAGACCTTCCACTTTCAAGTTAGGAGTCTGGAGCACAGGCTAAGAAAAGGGAGCTCAACCTTTAACTTACGTTGACATTTAGTTTGAATGATTTTATATACACAACTGATTTTATATACACATCTTTAATAAAAATGGAAGCTTAGTGGGTATGGTCATAGGTGTGGCCAAAGGTGGTGTCATGAGTGTGGCTTCTAGAAGTAACCTACAGCACAGCATCCTTCCTATGACATCTCTACCCCAACCAAAGTATGGCTTCATATGAATGCATTAGAACATTATAAATGAATTTTCCATTTGAATTCTACATCTAAACCCCCCTCCCCCCATTTAATGTTGAATACATGTCTTCAAAGCACAAGTGATAGAACTACTAATCCAACATTGATTCAGGGCAGAAGAGAGGATTCAAATTGAGAGGGGCATTGTTTAGAAGAAAATTTCAAAAATTGTATTTTGTGTCAAAAATTTGTAAGGGATTGTAAATCAAAACAAGGAAAATTGAGAGCAACTTAGTACAAGTCATGAGACCAAGAGAAAGCATCACATCTTGTGAGCCAGAAAGTTTTTCTGGAAAACCAAGAGTAGCTTTGAGCTATGTATGTAGTTTTTCCCTTTTTGCTCTGATGAAGCCCCATGTGCCAGGGCGAAATATCAGCCATAGTTAATTTACATGTGTTTATTGTTGTTTGTTCTCATTGCGTTGCAGTGTTCCTTTTTTACTACATTTTTACTACATTTCTCATTTCCAACAAGAAAACCCAGCATTCTTTTCAATCCCGAATGAAGGGTACAGCAGTTTCTAACAAAGTTTCAGGTGTGCAAAAGCAAATTTTGAAATGTGCAAGTGTGCACATTGGTGAAAGTAATTGATGTTACAAGTAAGCATTTTACAATTGTAGATGGAGAGTAGTAGATGGAGAGTTAGCATTTTACAAGTTTGAACAATGGTGTGCATTTAATATATGCACACGGATACCAATTATACATCAAAAAAGTTTCATGATAAACTAATATGAAATGAGAAGAATTCAATAATTTAACACCAACAAAAAACCCTCATCTCAAACAACCACAGCACACCTTTTATCAGGAGTCCAGGACCATTTTAGAAAAAACATCGCGGGTGAGTTTTTGCCCTACTGTGCAGCCTGGTTTTCAATAAATTTCATTAAAAAAGGTGAATAAATCCACTGCTTAATAAATTTTGACACCCTCCAGATCATAGTGAAAAATGCAGCAAAATAAATCTAGTAAATGTCATTGATGGAATTTTCAAATCAGGGCGAGACCAGGAGAAGTACATACAAACCTTAGATCACGCGGTAATGTTTGTAAGACGATCAGCAGATATCTCCATCCACCGCTTCCAAGGTAAAACGCTGTTCCGAAGGTAACAGCAATACCAGGGAAATAAAACCATGGTAGGCGTAAAAATCCATTCAAGAATGAGCAAATTCCCAAGAATGCAAATGCCTTGTAGGCAAGCATGTTTCTACGAAAGTGTCTCAGGAATCTCTTCCACAATGAAATTCTAACCATGTGCTTGTGAAATGAACTTTGGTTGAGAAACCCTCTCAGCGAATTGCTCTTTGAGCCCTAAAGGATAAGAGGCATTCAACAACCTTTCGATTGCGCCAAAGCATCTGATGAACTTTGAACTGCCATAATAAACCATTGTACCATTTTGCTAATGTTGTTGCTGTTGATGCTGTTGTTGTTGTTGTGTGGGTGGTTCCGATAAGGTGTTTCGACCATAATGGTTTCGACCAAAGACTTCTGTAGGTTCAATGTTTGAGGTCAGTGGTTTCGACCGATCTCTGGGTTTCGACCAGAGCCGATTCGGAGCCTCGCATCCATGTTCTACATCCACGAAACCAAAAAAATGGCTTTTGATTTTTAAAAGATGGTAATTTTCAAATCAATGGCTATTTTCTTCACTGGCTATAATTTTCAAATTAATGGCTATTGCACATTAATGTTCAGTGATAAGTGGCGGATTCAGACTATTGTTTAAACATCATGTCAGATATCTTAGATTTAAGGATGCTTGCTACTTAATCAGCACAAACTATATCCCCCCAAACAAATATTTTCTTTATTCAAGCCGTTCTTACCTAAACATAAAGGATTCAGCGAAGCTTACACTTAAAGAGGGCAGCAGGTGAAGCAGAGTCAAGAAAACATCACGGTTCCGCGGCCACTGGTCGGAGAAAGGTTGTAGAAACAAAAAGAGTTAAGGAAGTGTAAAATTCTGATATTCTGACACAAATTGTTGTTGTTTGTTGTAAATTTCTGACAAAATTAATTGTTTGATTGATTGACTGAGCAAATAAATTACACATTTTGACACACAAAATCTATTCCTTTTGTTCCATCCAAAGCTAAGACTTTCTGTCAATATAATATTATTACTTTGGTACTAAACAACCTTACGCCTGTTACGCTAGATACATACTCTCACAAGCACTGTTACGCCATGTGTTACGAAACTGTTACGAAAGAAATCGTTTGCAGAGAGAAACCAAGGGAGGAAGACTGTCTTGTATTGTAGTGATGAAGGTTTTTTGTTTTTAGAAATTCTTGTCCTAGGTTAGTGTAGTTATTTTCTTTATCAATTTGAAACGTGAATTTTGCTGTTTCAAGCTTGTAAAGTTTGTCATAGTTCAAGAGTTGTAAAGTTTGTAAAAATTCAAAGTTTGCGGAATCCCTCCAAAATTTATGTCAAATATAATTTTTTTGTGTCAAATACGCAGAATTAAAAAATTTGTTCTTTTTTCAAATTTTCAATATTTGGGCGTTTAAATGGGGGTCAAATGTGGCCACCAGTCATTGACAGTATCAAATGCCTTACTGAAATCAAGAAATATACAGCAGGAGGAAAGGCCATTTTCTTTATTGTTAATTATTTGAGATTGAAGCTCTAAGACTGCTAAGGAAATTGACCTATTTTCTTGAAAACCATATTGATGCTTATATATTATCTCATTGATTCCTAAAAATTTTACCAACGAGAAATCAATTTTTCGAGAATTTTGGTAAAAATTAGAAGAATCAAAGAAGGACGATAATAACCATGTTGCAGTTTTGATTTGCTTTTTTATATTGACGTACATTTTGCAAATTTTAACTTATCTGGAAAGACATCTTCTAAAAAAGAGGAGTTGGCTATCACAAAAAAAGTTTCAAAAATAGTTTAGCGAACTAGTTTAATGAGCTTAGTAGGAACATTATAAGAATCATTTGCTTTACTTTCATCAAGATTAGCTATTTTGTCGCTGACTTCCTCTGGAATCACTGGATCAAAAAATACTATTCAAATTCGATTTTGTCAAAAAATCCCTAAAATCTTTTGTAGATGGTTTCATTTGACCCCGTTCACACTGCTCCGTATTCATATGAAAACGGATAAAAAAGTATCCGTTTGTGCCTTGCGTTCACACTGCTCCACCTTGAAAACGGAGACTTTTGAAAACGCACTTTGAAAACGGAGACTTTTGAAAACGCAAAAACGCTGTGTGAACACCGAAAACGGATACTTTTGAAAACGCTAACAACAACAACAACACAGCAAGATTCTCACTCGAAGTTAGCATACTACTTGGAGGAATATTAGTGGCAGTGAGCTGTTTGAAAAGTTTATTAGCAGTGGCAAGTGCTGTAAACCAGTTTGTGGCGTTTTCCTTTTTATCTAGAGCGGAGCAATGTGAACGCTTCATCGTTTTCATACCGTTTTCAAATCTATCCGGAGCAGTGTGAACAGGTAAAACGGATCGATATGAAAACGAATAAAAATGAATACGGAGCAATGTGAACATAGCCTGAAATGAAGTATTCGTTAAATGAATTGGCGACAGTTTTGCTGTCAGATGTAAATTTTCCATTTATTAGCAAATTAAGTTTACAGCTGTTACATTATTTAGTTTGTTGATTTTTTCCTTAACTCCAGACCAAAGATTTTCACTGTTTTTTGGAATTTTTCAAATTATGAGGCAAAGTAGCTTTTTTACTCTTTCTTTTAAGATAATTAACACGGTCCCTATAATACTTATATTTTTTATTTAGATTAGGGTTTTTTTATTTTAAGGAATTGTTTAAAGTATTTATCTTTAGTTGAGATCAATTTTAAGATTCTTTTAGTGATCCAAGGTTTTGATCTTTGTTTATGTATCATTCTTCTTCTCTTCTTAAATGACAATAGATACATACAGAAAGTGGCTGTTTATACAAAAGACACACGAAAGAAGAGTCTTCCCTCTGAGCGAAGCGAGCAGAAAATTTTCGCAACCACGCTCTTTAGATAAGCATAAAACACATAATATTTCTTGCAGTCATTTTCTTGCAATAATTTAAAACAATTTGCTATTTTTAAAGTGTATATCACCTCAATTGCAAACTTTGCGATCCCTTACTATACTTGATGCGCTGTTTACGAAAATCGAATCGATAATTTGCTATTTCTTTGGTTTTTCTGTTGTATGCACGCAAAAGTGGCATTTTGCCATGTCTTGCGAGCACCAAACCGCGCCAAAAAGGGGACTGGATCATAGTCTTTTTGTGACGTAGAAACCAGAACCAAAGTAAAACGTGCTGAGAATATTCGATGGTATATTTAGAGATGTGGATGGACATAATAAGCAAACAAGGATCGTCAATGAATTTTATGCGATTTATTCATTCATCAATTTGCTTTCTTTGCAATCAGCCTTCAATATTTTCCTCCCTCCGCATTCCTATCAGCTTATTTTTACGTCATACTACTACACATACGTCAGACCTGACCTACCCTGATCTGAGTCATATGAAGTCGAATCTGTCCTCACACAACCAGAGATCATCCCGAATGAATTTACTTTAATTCCTAAAAACGGATTTAGTCAACAACAAAGTCCTAGACGGGCCTTAATAAGCATATTTCTTATTTCTGCTTCCACGCCGCATCAGCCATTGGTTCATCAGCGTAAGCTTCTAAGCACCCAGCTTCGACGTTTTCAGTCCCCGCATGCTCAAAATCTAAACTTTCATCCACTAATTCGTGATCAGTAAAGAAACTAGGATTTGACGAGATGTTGGATGCTTCGGAATCAGAGTCGGCCATAATTTATTGCGCAAGGTTTCGAAAGACGTTCTGGTTTCTACGTCATGAAAGACTAGAGCCTAGACCTCTATAACATGCGCGGATTGGAGGCAAAATGTAAAGACTTTGGGGGCCTTTTTCGAGGGCTTGCGTTGCTCAAAAAGCTTTTTAAATTTGATGTTTGAACTCAGCGCAGTTGTTTCAGTTGGTTTAATCTCTATCCCAAATTAGGTGACATGCACTTTAAGGTATGCTTTATTGCTTTTAGTACATTTGATCAATTCCAGTCTTAAAAAATGGAATTCATTACTTTATTAAGGCCCCATAGACCTCTTATTCCTGGTAAATTTAGGCAATGCCAGGATTTATCGCACTTTTAATTTCTTCTTTTCCTTTTCCTTTATTCTTTTTATTTTCTTAAAACACTTTTTGAATAAAATTGGAGGTTGCTGAAGCCCCAAAGTCCCTCTCCTCTGGCGCCGCCCTTGCACTAGGTACGGTTTCGCCGATATCTGATTACCCGATTCCCTGACTGAACTTGTTGGGGAGACGAGCCAGGGTAAGTCCGTAAGGTGTAGGTAGCCCCCCGTGAAAGGAGTGGGTGCAACAGATAGGCAAAGGAGGGAACTTTGAAAAAATAAACAACGTAGATCCAGCATTGTTCTAGCAGGTTCAATGCGCGTGTGTACCTACTCCTCGTAGCTAATTTGTTCGGACAAACCACTAACGCTTGTGTTCTAAACAATGGAGCCGCGATCTCGTCTCCCCAACAAGAACAGACTTGCTTCCAACAGGCTGAACAGAGATAGAAATTGGAGATCACTCACCCTTTGTTCAACCGATGCGTTGGCCAAACAGGAACTAGTAGACTTTAGTAAGACTAGTAGTTCCGCAAGAGACAGAACATGAGTACAGGTAATTTCGTCGTTTTTCCTTTCCTTTTTTTGATTCAGAAAAAGGCAATATGGCTTATATATATATATATATATATATGATACACATGACTGTTTGACAACGTTAAGACATTTTCGTTTTATTTGTACCGAGGAAATACATACGGAGGTTTGCCGTATGTATATGCCTCCCGCCGCATTAGGCTGACAATAAATACAGGGAGTGGCCCTTTTCTACTTTTTGCTGTTTTTTATAACGTTGTTGCGAGAGCCCTCTTGACAATACCCGTAACAGGAGCGGATCCAGACTATAGCAACTGTAGCTCGAGCTATATCAGTGTTTGATTTTCAAAATACAAAGTTTCCTTGCAGTCCCTAAAAATGTGTTTATGCCCACAAGTGTTTACTATCAACATTTGAAAGCAGCGGTATAGGTTATCAAATGCGATTAACAAACATGCAATGCTGGCAATGTGTCATCACAATGCCTCTCCAGATAAGATATAAAACTTAGACGAATCAGAAGTTTCGTTCTTTGTTGACAGTAACCAACCAGAATTGAGCTACAGTGGATATTCCGAGCTATAGTCGGTCTGGGGATTTGCTCTGGAAAAGGCATCGAAGACAATGAAACCCGTACTATAATTTTTGGCGCGAGCTATAGTGAAGCTATAGTCAGGTTTGAAAATGGCCTTCCACGGTACTTCA